CCCGACGCAGAGCCACAATGCCTTCTTTTGCAAGGGCATCTAAGGAAAAGGGGTCAATCCCCTGAATAAAAATAAAACATTTCAATAGCCTTCACCTTGAAAACAAGCAAGACAAATTCAAAATGTGAAATTCTTACCTTTTGATTAATGACGACAAATCCCTTATCTGAGTCACCACAGACTTTCTTTTTCAGCTCTATTATCTTTTTAACCCTGTCTTCAATGAACTTCCTTTCAGCTTTTACTAGATTTTCTCTCTCTTCTGCACTCTTATAAAAGAACCCAGAATTCACTTCTCTACAAAAGAAAAAAAAAAGCCATATAGAAAGGGGGAGATTTCCATTTTTACCTCAGTTTTAATGGGAGTAAGGGGACTGCATTCGGACGGACACATGGACACATTCTAGGCCAAGTGCTCTACCACCAAGCTATATATAACCCAGGCTTCTTTCTGTCTTTACAGTGGGGGAAATGTCAATGTCCTCCTACCCTGAAGGGTTATGCTATAAACTCACGTATTCTCATACTCCAAAGACACATTGCATGTGAGGATGTAGGCATTCTCTACCCTTTTCTTCATATCAGGATGCCGTGCTCCATGATCCAAAACAAGTCCTCTGATTAAGCTATAAAACAGGAAAATTTACAACACTCCTATTTACATATATTAGGCGAGAGAGACACACACACCAATAAACTTTTATGCAAGCCAACTAATTTCTATAACATCTCGGTAACTTTTCAGTTAAACTTTTGGTTAGAAAGCATGTCAAGGTATCAGGTTACCTACCTTGTATCAGTTTCCGATTTATGTTTCATCTCCATGATCTCAACCATGAAGAGGTCAATGGGTTCATCTTTTTTCTTAATGGCCAAAATGGAGTCTACCACAGCCTATGAGATAACCATTAGATAACTTTAATTTTTAGAGGATGACACACTTTAGTTGACCTTTATACAAGAATAAAGACTGAAGTAATTTATATCTCTAAAACCCGAACTTGCAATCATCTGAAAATTATCATCCTTCCTATTATTGCAAACACAAGTAACTCATGGGCACAGACCTCAAGTCTCAGCCCTTCAGAAGAGGTGAAAGGGCCGGGCGATGGTGGCACAGCCTTTAATCCCAGCACTCAGGAGGCAGAGGCAGGCGGATCTCTGTGAGTTCGAGGCCACAGAGAAACCCTGTCTCGAAAAAC